TAGGTCTATAACAAAGACCTAGACGGCATCCACCGACTGGATGTGTTTGGCCAAAACGCCGAAACAAGACTTTTCCGAGGAAAAAGCGAGGTGGCTGCGTTTACTACTGCCGTCTGGGTCTTTATTGTAGACTTACTTGTGTCTCTTGTCTGACGGCTGGACCCAGTTTAACGGACAGTAGGAATGAAGGAGTAGATTCTTATAGTAGTCCCTATATTATTCATATAATATATCGCATTATAGTAGTTTCCAATCTCTTTTCCATTCCTCCATTCCCAGCTAACCAAAGTTCAGATGGAACACGCTACACCAAACCTTGATTCCCCGATCCTCGAATTTCAACTGGGGGCTTATGCGGCTGTGTTTAGACCATGTAAGGGGGTGTTTAGGAGCTACGATGACCCTCAACCCTTAACCCAACACTGTTGTTTCAAACCTGAAACCCTAAACCCAACCCCTAGAACCTAAAACCCTTATGCCTTGCTTTATTGCAGCCCTTGAGCCTAAATCCGGATTGCCAGGGGCGCCGCATGCGCTGGGCTTCCCACTCAGCCCGCTTTGCCCGGTGCCTGGGTCCTCATTGGTTTACATTGAAGGGGTTAGGGTACACAATTTAGGGTATTTGGGATACTCCAAATCCTAAACCCCAAGCCCTAAACCCTACAAAAGCACATACGTTTGCCTTCCTGGATATCATGTACTAAGGTGCAGGAATGCCCATCTCTCGTCTTTCGCGCGCCAGGCAAAGGTTTAGGGGTTTAGGGTTTTGGGTTTAGGATGTAGGGTTTTGGGTTTAAAGTTGAGGATTTAGGGTTTTAAGTTTGGGTTGGGGTTTGGAGTTGGGATTTTAGGAGATTTCAGGGCTTATGGTGTTTGTTGGATTTCCAGTTAACTCAGTTGCACTAGGTAAGGTTAAAGCAAGAGGGGCTTCCTAAGTCAGGAGTATAACTGAAGTCCCATCAAAATTCTTTGACAACTTTGGGGAATTTCCCGTAATTCTAAACTCTAAACCCTTGAGCCTTATGACGATTATCCTCAATGCTGGTAGGATGATTGCAGGGGTTGCCGTAATGACTTCTTCGCAGGCGGTGCGCTAAATCGTTCCTATTCTCCCGTGCCAGGGGGGCTCACACTCATCAGGATCCAACATTAAGCGCTAACGATCGTGCTTGTAGACCCTTCATGGGTCTTACAAAGGTTACCCCGACTTTATGCAGGGTTGTGCGCCAGCTACACGGGGTCACAAAGTTCCAGGCGGCCCACTGGCTTGCAGGGCTTCACTGGGTCCAGGGTTAGAGCTTTTATAGATCCCAATTTAGCGCCCCCATGCCGGGCAAGTCCCAGCCTGCGCTACAAACAATCATTAGAAACCTTGAGCCAAATCTTTCCAACGTAAACCCTGAACCACAAACCTAAAACGCCTGAGCCAATGATGGTCAGGTGAATATTGGACTGCAGGCGGGGATGTTTGTTTGAGCTTACATTTCCATATCGGTAGCAAGGAGTTTGTATGCTTCATGGGCTGGATTAGGCTTTGGAGCTGACGCTTAAGGATTTAGTGGTTAGGGCTCGGGGTTTAGGGTTCCGGTTTGTAGGTCCTTAACGCAGACAGCATCTGAACTTTAGGCAGAAAGGCCTTGTAGTAAGAAAAGAGCCCGCTGAGTTGCATGCCTCGTTGCGCATTTATCTTTTTGGCGAGGTTGCAATTCACATGGTTTCTGGTTGAACCCTAATATACTATCCCAAAACCTGTACTATAATTACTATTACCCATATCCCAAGTACCTAATTATTGGGTACATGGACCCTTAGGGGAAGGCTATGTTCACCAGACTTCTGGATTTTCCTGAAGCCGGGGATTGAAGCATTTTTAGGGTTTAGGGTTTAGGGTTTAGGGCATGCAGGCCCCCTAATCAGATATGAGCATTGAACCCGAGTCGTGGTGCATGCCCAAATGCCTTTGGTGCGCTCATCCATGCGTACTAGCTAGGAGGGCGATGATCCTGTCCATCAGCCCTGTACATACCTTGGATCCTGCTTGCCAAGGGTAACTTTGTTAATCCTAAAACCTAACCCCTAACCCCAATGGCTTCATAGGAAGCCTGCAGCTGATCCCTCCAAACTTCATCCCAAAACTTCAACCCCAAACTTCAAACCTTAAGCCATGAACCCGAACCCTCAAGCCCGAAGCCCTTAACTCGAAAGCCCCAAACTGCCAACCCTAAACCCTAAGTTCTAAAACGCTACATCCCCAACCAGAAGCTCTGAATCCTAAATCTGAAATCCGCAAGTCCTAACCTGAACCTCAAAAGCAGGTAAAACCATAGCCCAAAACACTTAACCACAGCCCAAAAAGGCCATTCTTATACATACCCTTGGGGTTCAGACCCTAAACCCTAAACCCTAAACCCTAAACCCTAAACCCTAAACCCTTAACCCTAAGCCGCCCACAGGGCCACCGCGCCTTGGCGACCTGCGCCCCACTGGTTCGCCTGTGCGCGGAGCCGCGACCGGCTCAGGACCGGATTTAGGGCTCAGGGTTTAGGGTTTGATGTTTAGGGTTTGGGGTTTAGGGTTTGGGGTTTAGGGTTTGGGGTTTAGGGTTTGGGGTTTAGGGTTTAGAAGTTAGGTTTTTTGGGTTTGGCCCTTAGGGTTTAGGAGTTAGGGGTTTAGGGTTTAGGATGCAGGGGCCCAGAAGAGTTCACTGCATGGGGTTATGAGGCATACTGTGGCTTATGTAAGGTGATCATGGTGGTTATATAGGGCCTTTTTAGAGCAATGCGTCCTAGGGTAGAGAGCAGTGGGGCATCAAAAATGACATGAATACTCCTGCTGAAGAGGGTTTTGTAGGCAGAACTACCAACATTATGGTCCTAGATTCCTTATGGTTACGGTGCAGGGTGCCTTGAATTAACCAAAATGATATTGGTAGTTGTTCGGGCTTCTACATTAAGGTCTATGCTTCCATAAATCAGGGTCCCAAATGTATACCTCAAATAGTGTAGTTTGTGTAAGGGCACGACTTCAAATGTGGGCAAGCTCCGCCAGAATAGGATTACACAATTCCTACTTTGGCCCGCAAAGCTCATGGATACCCTAAACCCTATAAACCCCTACACCCCTAAAGCTTGTCTTTTGGGCTATTTGGAGCCCTGGGGTCTTCAAAATCAGCATATGAGGGAGGGTTTCGAGTTTGGGATTTTCAGATCCAGGTCTTAGTCTTTGGGGTGTAGGTGGGGTATCGGCCTTAAATTTCGGGTTGATTTTTCTGTTTAGTGCTTGAGGCCCATGACGTATTGGGATCCATCTGAAAGAGTTTGAGGGGATATGGATTAGCGAGTCTTGTTTTCTATACAACTTCCAAGTGGGTAGCTTACCGCAGATCAGCGTTGCATGGTCGTTACATAGCTCCCCAACTCTCCATGTGCAAACGTACCCACCTAGTAACTCCTCACGTGGAATTTTCCAATTATTATCAAAAGGGCTTTAAGTTTTAGTGCTCGGCTATTTTTTTGTGGACGAAGGTATATATGGATTGAGGTTACGGCCTTGGGCGGAAGGATGAAGGGATGAGGATTTAATTTGCCCCCTACATGAAGAAGAGCACATACCCATTATATACTTGAATTATATTAGGGCCGCTACTACTAGGGCATGGGGTGGGTTAATATCATAGGTTCAGGATGTTAAAGTCAGGCATCCGGATTTGGGGTTTCAGGCTATCAGTTCGGAATTGAAGTTTCAAGTCGTTGCGAAAGAATCTATTCAGGTAATATCTGATGTTTAAATACACGGGATATTGCAGGATGGTCAATTTTCGTGACTGGCATGAAGTAGCTAGCTTCTAAACCCCAAGGGTCCAAGGACGTAATAATCATATACTTACCCAAAGCCTGTACTATAATTACTATTACCCAAATCCCAAGTACCTAACTATTGGGTACACGGACCCTTAGGGAAAGGTGTCAAGTTGGGCTGAGCTGTTAGGGCTCCAACAACCTGGTTTAGGGTCAAGGGATACTCCCGCGACTGCAGAAGGAGCAGCAGCTATCAAATGAAATCCTAGCCTTTGAATCTAGACCTGTGAGACCCTCGGAACCCTAGAGCCCTAAAACCCTAGACCCCAAATCACCGAAACGTCACCCATATAACACCGTTCAATTCTGCTAAATTAGAAGCGCGCAGGCCCCTACATACAATCCCTATACTTTTCCCACTAGAACCCCATACCTTCCCAAAAAAGGAACCCCAAAAAAATACTATAGTCCTTGTTCTGGGGACCCCCCAAGAAGGCACTCCAAATTTTCGGAAAACCAATATATAACCTCAGTTTCCAGCTTGCGAACCATGGCTTCTCCAAAATGACTCCAATCATTCCGGCGCCTGAGCCGCAACTCCTAGTTCCTAACCCCGAAGCTTGAAACACTAAACCCTACGGTATCATCCCAAAACCCAAACCTTAGTTTTAAGCACATATACACACAGGTATATGTAATCCTACAACACCCGTGAAGGGCCCCTCAACGTCCAAGAGTTAAGCATCCCAGTCTGCAGGGCTTTGTGGAGCAGCGAGCAAAGACCCCAGGCAGGCTGCCTGCATTAGCTTTTGATTCAGGATCTAGGGGGCTTTGGCTTTGTGTTCAGGAGTTTCGGGTTTAAGGCTTGAGGCTTGCGGGATTAGGGCTTACGTATAGGGTTTAGCGTTGTGTTTCTGATGGGCTCCGCTTAGGACAAGCGCATCGGTTCAGGGTTTTGGCTGGGGGGGGTGTAGGGTTATGCATGCGTTTAGGGTTTACGAGTTTATAGTTTAGGGGTTTATAAAGGGCTTGCCCTAATTAGTGTTGAACAAGTCCCTCAAATATGTTACCCGAACTATCTGGCTGCCTGAAGCCATCATTTGACATCCGATTGTCTCTGAGTCCTTGACCCTAAGGGTCCAAGTACCTAATAACCATTTACTTGCCCAAAACCTGTTGCCCAAAACCTGTGCTATCATTGCTATTATCCAAAACCCAAGTACTTAATTATTGGGCACATGGACCCTTTGGGTCCTTAACATGCGGGGACAGGGTTAGGTACAGTACGCGTGCCCTCGAGCTACGATCCCTAAGCCTGACCCCAAACGGACATGAAACCCTAAATCCTAAACCCTACAGCTTACAACCGTAAACCTAAAACCCTACAATCTAACCTAAACCTTAAATCCGAAATTCTAAGCCTAAGGTAGATCCTAAATCCGAAGCTTAAATCCTAAGCCCAAACCTTAGACCTGAAATCTTAAACCCTGACCTAAACCGCAAGCCTGCGCCTTAAATAGGGCTTAGGGTTTAGGGGTTCAGGGTTTAGGATTTAGGGTCTACGGTTTTTGGGGGCCTTGTTTTTTCCTGCTTTTGAGTCCTAGGTATAGCTTAACTAACTTCACCATGCCTGGGCTGCCCTGGGCTCTGGCAAACAGGTGTTGTTCCAAGTCGTGGACCTTTGTTTCTGCAGGGTTTGTAGAGGGGTTACAGGGAATCTAGGGCTAACTGTCCCTAAGGGTCCGAGGACCTAATACTCATATACTTACCCAAAACCTGTACTATAATTACTATTACCCAAATCCCAAGTACCTAATTATTGGGTATACATGGACCCTTGGGGTGTATAGATATTTCCGACATGGTGCTAGTTTGGGCCTTAGGGTTTGGTATAGCCCACCGTGCCCGGATCAGAACATATCATAAGATCCCTCCGTACAAAAACCTGTGTAACCCAGCTTCCATTTCATGTTCCAGTATCTTTCCCGTTTTCCGTACTTGGATCCCCCATTATTGGTGTAAGATCCCTAAAGTCCATAGACAGGTTCGCTGAGCCGTGTGACAAACGGCGAGGGTCTCGAAGACGCAGACGCTGCCACGCAGCAGGCGTTAACTTTGGCTGAGGTAAAGGACCAGTCCTGTTTTGGGCTGTGAATGTGGGCTTTTGGTGATTTTCAAGGGTTGAGGTTGCAGGTGTGTTCCTGCTTCTGTCCTTCTACGAAAAGCTCTGACTGCCGTGGGCGGTGACGAAAACTATAGTGGTGCTACCTAAATGCATCCTAGCATTCTAGGGAAGACAGGGAGGTGTTGACCAATCACTGCAAGATGGAGGTCTTGTTGTCTGGGGGTTCTGGGTTGCTGTTAAGGAACTTGAATTAAGTTACTATATTGGGGAAACCCTATTAAATACTATATACCCATTATGGTAACTTAATTTAAGTTCCTCAGCAGCAACCCAGGGTTTGGACCCTAGGGTTCTGTAGCTGCACGGCAGCAGCTTCTAAACCAGAGCCCCGGCTTGCCATTTCAAGAGTATTCCTTTGAGTATTGTTCACAGTATTAGGACAAGTGGTGTTGAAAATAAGACCCAAGTGGCCGGTCAGTTTTGGTAAAACTCTCGCCCTAGGCTTGCCGTGCGATCTCAACCATACTGGTTCATTCATCTTTGGGCCTACTCTCGCCAACATAGATGACCTAAGATCCTACGTCCAAAGCCATAAATTCTATACTCAACACGTATGCCCAAGCACCCCGAGTAGGTTACAAGCGAGCCTACTTGAATTTGACAGGGTTGTGAGGTATACTGTGCGACACTAGTAAGTATACATGACTATAACGAACTGTCCTGGTCATTGTTCAAGCTGCTACACTAGGGTTTTACGGGTCTTGAGCTTGATGGAGGAAACTTGCATCACTTCAGAGTACTTAAGTTCGTGCAGGGTTTCTCGCATCAAGGGTAGAGGTTCGAGAGTCCAGCGGCTTACGGATTTGGAGTTTATGTAGCGGACTGCGTTACCCATCCTCTGCAAATGAACATGAAACCCGAAAGTGTGCTCTACAAGATCAATGGCCTTCCAGACGGAGCCTATATGGGACTTGGCGTAAAATGATGTTCCCCAAATGGAGGACATTCATCTAGGCATCTGTATTATCTTAGAAACCCTAAAAATAGGGACCTGTATTCTAGTCAGTTTATACAAATACCCATATGAGCCAGAATCTAAACTCCTTAAAGGGGGATATATAGGGGATTATCCAGAAAGCTACTACAGGGGTTATGAATTAAGGGGGATACTAGGAGTTTAGACTATGGCTCTTTTGTGGTTCCATGTTTGTTTCGGTGAAGGCTTGGTTTTTCAGTTAATTGTGTCAACGCCCCTCAAGGATGACGTCGTATGCTGTTAGCAGTTACTATCAGGCTTACCCTAAACCCTGAACCCTAAACACTAAACCCTGAACCCGGAACCCTAAACACTAAAAAACGAAACCCTAATCTTGAACCCTAAACCCTAAACCCTGATAAAGTGGGTACTTTCCATGGGGTCCTCAAGATGGACCTCAGGACTCACGTAAAGTTCTCGGCTAAAGAAGTCCTTCCAACAATTTCTTCTGGTTCTGGGGGTCTCCTTGCGATCTGCTCAAGCACGGGATGTAACCCTTCTTAGATAAGAAGCCCTATTGCCCATATAGTAACCCTAGTTATCCTAACTATTAACCTACCTACTAAGTCCCCATGCCTCCAAGTATGAACCCCAAATCCTAAGCACATAAACCGTGTGCCTCTTATCCGCAGGGATTGAAGGACTGGGCCGTCGGGGGCCCTACAGGGATCATAGGGTCATAGGGTTTAGGGTTTAGGGTTTAGGGGTTACTTTGGGAACCAGTCCGTCGTTCCCTGCTAACACTTGGCCTCAGGATCTTAAATGGGGATTTCCCAAAATTTGGGGTACCCATAATAAGGACTTTAATATGTTGGGGTGTATATTGGGGGTCCCCCCTATTTTGGGAAAATGTCAAATGTCATGGCATCCACAATATGTGAAACTGACGCAGCCTTCACCTATACAAGGGTACAACATATTCCGGGAGCTGGTGATTCCGCAATGCATCCGCGTAGAACGCAACGGGTTCCAGTACCAGTTATCAAGGATTTTGCGCATCTTTGTTTAAGCCCTCAAGCTCTAGACCCTAACCCTACGCCCCAAACCCAAAATCCTAAACCTTGAACCGTACTTTGAGCCCTCAAGCCAGAGACCCTAGCCTCCCTGCTCTTAAGCCCTAAAACCTAAACTCTTGCGCAGGTTGTTGCAGAGATGCTGGAGTCCATCGTTAACAGCTTTACCACTGGCAGCTTGGCTGTGCTGTCGAGATGCCTAAGACATATGAGCTGTAGTCTATAGAGTCTAAACTCCTTAAAGGGAGGTTATATAGGCGATTATATAACCCCCTTTCATGTAGGGTTTAGAGTAGAGGATCTAACCTCCTTAAAGGGGGTTGTATAGGGGAATATCTAGGGGAGCTTTGTGAGGGTTATTAAGGGGGATACTGGGTGCGAGTCTGGGATGGAGGAAAGGGTTCCCACCCTACGGGGTGTTGGATTTAGGGTTTTGGAGGTTCACAGCCCATTGTATGCAATACTTACACACTTTTGCGCTGAATGTCGGTATTATTTTGTATACTTGGACCCCTAGGGCTAGAGTGACGCGTGTATAATCCCCAACAACATATATCTGTGGCCGACCCGAAACCCCCCAAACCCTAAACCCGTAAACCCTAAACTCTAATTTCTTTCATGGCCTATGGACAATCAGCATGATGATGTAGAAGGTAGACCCCCGACCGGGTAATAGCGACTGTAAGGGATAAGAGTGATAGTATCAGGGTCCTCTTATATTCCTATTATCCCACTATTACAAGGTGAGGGGTCCTCCTGCATGATATAGAAGGTATGTAGGGAGATGCACGTAACCACACAGTTGGGGGCTCAGTGGGGGCTCCAAAAAGTCACTGCAAAGAAGTCAGTCGGCTTTTTTAAAGGAGTGTTGGGCTGAAACGGCTTGTATGTTTTGAGCCCCTAAGAATCCAAGCGCCTACATGGGAGGCAATTTGTGCCCTCATGGGCTCCTCAATAGGTATTTTGGGCCCACATTATCTATCAACATTTAGATACTTGGGCCTCTGGTGTAGGGGCTCTGAAGAGATTTTTTTGCACAGGAGTTGCCTGGCTCAGCTCGGCGCTGTAGGATCCGGAGGAGAAGGTACAAGATCTCATGGGTACCTAAGCATCCGCAAGATCTTTACGTACGATGTTGTTTGGCTTGGGTGTCTTAGTGTGAGCCCTGGCCACCAACCAGCCGTTAGCTTTACACCCTGCGCCATTCTGCTGGGATATGGTCTAGTGTTTAGGGCTTAGGGGCTTAAACCGCTTAGGCGCTCAGGTACCTTCAGCGGAGGATGGCTTCATCCATCAACAGTATGGGTTCCTTTCATAGTTTCCCCCGTGCTGGGAGCAGTAATTTCGGTGTCTTGGTCAGCTTCAACAGATCAGATCAGCCTTCCTCGAAACTAACACGGAACCACCCCAAATTTGCTCTATGAAGACGAATGTCCAAGGGTGGCTTCATGCCATTCCACGTTGGCTTGGGGGAGCGTAGAGAGATCCTTTGTAGATTTAAAGGGACCGCCGGCGGCGTGGCACTGCAGTGGATAGAAGAAACATGACGTTTTTCAAACAATAGAGGTCTCTTTTTTGGCCCCGCAGATTGCTGTGCAGGTAGAACGTTGCAACACCTGAACTACCCTAATATACCCTACATGCTGGAAAGACTGAAGTTTGATAACCTCAGCATTAACATTATGTGAGCTATAGTCTAAACTCCTTAAAGGGGGATTATATAGGAGATTATATAGGTTTAGGGTTTAGGGTTCAGGGTTTAGGGTTTGGGGTCTAAACTCCTTTTAGGGGGGTTATATAGGAGATTATATAGGGGACTACTATAGGGGTTGTTAAGGGGGAACTAGGAGTTTAGACCATGGCTCATGTGGGCTGCAGGTAGAAGAGGCGGCCAACTAGAGTGGCCTGCAACGCGCAACTGAGATTCCGTAGATTTGTTTTGAGGCGTTGGGCGTGCCAACTTCTATGTGACCCTTGTACGAATGTCATGAGGATTCTCCAAGCCAGTACGATTCAAAACAGAATTACCCCCAAAAAGAGCAAGCCCCAACCAGTTGCCCAACCCTAGGCGTAAAGATCTCTGACTTGCCCAGGCACTCTATCCTTATCAGAAGCGACGGCCTCACGGAAGGGAAGCACCATTTGGAACTAGCACCCGCCTCCATAAACAAGAAGCTCCCCTCCCGCCTAGGAAAGAATGACCTTCCTGAAGAACATGTGGCAGTTTCCCTCAATAAGAGGGACGCAAATGTAGACCCCCAAATACTATAGTCACATTTATTGGAGACCCCAAATGGTACCCCTAATGTTGGGAACTACCCATATTGGGGTCTCCAGAAACAGTTCCCCAGCTTAGGGGTCTTTGATGTATCATGATATATTCGGGTCTGGGTTATAGAGGTTATTCACCTACTTACCAAGTCCCCATGACCCTCCAAGTAATGATGTAAGCCCTCAAAACCTTGCCCTGAATGCAGAATCTTTAATATGACTGGGGTGAGGGGTTGCATAAAGTCGAGGTGATTCTAAATTGGTGGTCTTGAGAAGGGCCGTAGCGATATTTTCGCGCAGGACAGAGCACGGAGACATAAACCCCAAACTCTAGACTTTAGGGTTTAGGGGTTTAGGGTTTAGGGTTTAGGGCTAGACTCTAAGCCCTGACCCCAAGATCCTAGAATCTATGGTGTTTTCCTTGGCTGTCTCTGCAAGTTTCGACTAGTAGCTCATTGACAGTCAGTCCCTGATGCTTCATACGGAACCAGGGGCATGTCTTATAGTTATTATTGCAGTGTATTCGTTCTATTACAGGAAGCACCCAGGTTGATCATATTGATTGCTGTTCCTGAGAACCCCGAGAACCAGAAATGTCTATTTCCTAAACCTTATGAATCTTTCAACCTAAGCCCCATGAACCCCAAAACCTAGAACCCTTAAACCCTCCACCCTAGACCCTAATTATATAAGTGTTCCAGGGAAGGGTAGAGTCGACGATGTTGAAAGATAACTTACTGGTGCCTAAAGCGGCGTGGGGAAAGGATGATATCTCATATAATGGTCCCCATATTCAGTCCCCCACTCCCATCGAAGCTCGGCGCCTGTCGTTTGGTCCGAGAAGTACATCGTCTAAAGGGTCCAAGCAACAAAAGGTTGGAAATTGTCAGTGTTTAAGGTTTAGAGTTTGGGGCGTAGGATAACATCGGAGCCTCGTCAAGGGTGTCATGCTATTACATGCACGGTGTTTGGCAGGACTGCTGTAAGGCTTTGGGCCCATTGAAAGGCTTCCTGCATAGATCCCTGTCGCGTGGGTATGTACCATAAACCCTGAACCGTTTTGCTTTTTGCCTTTGGACTCTGAGCGAGAGGCAGACTCAACAAAACCTAAACCCTGCGCTAAACCCTAAACCCTCGACAGACATCGGGATAGGCTTCTTACAAGGGGGAAAACATGTTAAATTCTTACCACGCAGGGTTGAGGCGTTCGCGGTAGATAACGTAAAGTACACATTCACCACCACAGGTTAGTCACACATAGGTTGTTTTGATCACTGAACTCTACACCGCAAAGCCTTTCTTCTGAAAACGGCAACCGAAAGCCCTGACCCTGAATCCAACACTCAAGGACATCAACCCAAAAACAGGACCCCAAAACCCTAACCCCCAAACCCTAAACCCCAAATCCTAAACACAAAAACAAGAACCCCAAAACCCTAAACCCCAAAAACAGGAGCCCCAACGCAAGAGCCTAGACCCAAGCCATTTCATCCAAGCGCGCGAACCTTAATCCGAAACCCCGCATCTGTAAACTCAAGCACTTTTTTCCGAAACCCTAAACTCTGAACCCCAAATCCTAAACACAAAACACGACCACTAAACCCTAAACCCTAAAAACAGGAGCCCCAACGCAAGAGCCTAGACTCAAACAATGTCTTCCAGCGCGCAAAGCCTAACCCGAAACCCAACATCTGTAAACGCCAGCACTTTTGTCCTAAACCCCACACCCTGAACCCTAACCCAAAAGCCCAAGTCCCCGAACCATAAGCTTGCGATCCTCGCTGATTTACGTAGGGTTTCAGGGTTTACGTAGGGGGTCCGTAATTGCGGCCCACCCCTATGTAGTCGCCCCCAATAGTTTAATCCTTGTCATGAGGACCGCCAAAAACCCGTTCATTTTGGGCCGGTAAACCACCATGTAATTGCAGTAATCAGTGATCCCAGGTTACATTTCTTCATAATTTTCCCAGTTGATTCTCCATTATTCCCAAAATCTTTAAGGCGCAAAAGGACACCCCAAAAAGGAACCTTTGATTTGAGGAAATCCCCATATGCTCCCAGCATGCACTGAGATCTTTGATAGCGGCACCGGCAGATGCGTACCATGGACAGAGGGTTTGGAGTTTAGGGTTGAAAATTCAGAGTTTAGGCTCGAACTTCCACAAACTTTAGCATGTTTAGTTGGGAGTGGTGGAACTAATGCATGTAGGGGGAAGAATGCGAAGATTGTGGTCCGGGATTGTTGCTATTCTTATGCTGCAAGGTACCTCGAATAGACTGCAAGCCTTTATTGGTAGTTATTGCACCACATACTAGTCCCCTTCTCATCTACCTTATCTCTTTACTAGGTGGCCATTCCCAGTAAGCATGACCAGGGACGTTGCTCAGGCTTTTGGGGCACAACCCTCATGTGGTGCAGAGTTTAGGGTTTGGAGTTCACTTACTGGTTGATAGTCGGACTGGATGAAAGGATCCTTATACTAGCTCTATACAACCCCAATGCACAACAAGTTTTCAGTTTTTTTTTTTCCATTCCCCAGTTCCTCAAGAAAAGCAGTAAGTACATTCTAGCCCTTAGAAAGCCTGTAATTTGGGACCGTCTTTTATCTCTAATTCCCCCCAACCCCAATAGGGACCCTCACTACTACAGGCACCTGCCCACATGATTTGGGCCATGTTTTGGAGGTTTTCGAAGAAGGTCAAAGAGGGTCCATATATACAACTATTAGGGAATTAGGCCAATTCCCTAATGGTTGTATATGTGGACCATCTGGGGGTTGTTTAATAAAACTGTTCGGCTTCAGGTTCAAGATTCGGTCAAGCTCCCAGGGCTGCTGCTGAAAAGGATTCTTAGCTTTAGGGTTTAGGGTTTAGGGTTCAGGGTTTAGGGTTGGTGGGGCCCCGGAATAATAATGCCCAGAACGTATTTTGGGGATTTTATAGCTGTGGTGGTTGTTGTAATTGTGTTCCGGCAGTGGCATTTTATAAATGTGGGGTAGTCCTGATAATTATGAAGGTTCAGGGTTTAGGGTTCAGGGTATTCTAAGAAGCCAGCATTTGGACATCGAAGGAGATCGAACAAATCTTATGCTTTGTGGGCCCTGAGAAAGGGGGCTCCAAAATATATTGATAGAGGGCCTCCTTCACTTAAGGAGGTCCAACATTACCTGCCTGCGAACCCCAATTCCCGTGTTTCCATATAACTTTCCAACTGTTTTTGAGTTTTTTCCACTCCGTACAAGAATCAGCGAGAATTCTGCATGACCACCCCTTCTATACTACCCCCGCCCCAAGGTTCCCCCTGAATTAATTTTTACTTAAAAACTTAGTAAGCCTAATGAGGGGGAAGCCGTGGGGGGGAACTATAGAGACGGTGGATACGTAACTCATAAAGCAACACGAGTCAATGCAAGCAACTGGATGGATACCCCGGGGGGGGGTTGGGCGTTCTTAGGGACTGCTAAGGACTGTAGGGGTAGTTTAGGGGTTTTAGGGTTTTGGGACCAGGGGGCTTATATACGGAGCTATAGGGTGTTTATGGTTCTGAGGGTGGGGGTTTAGCGATTAATTAGGGTTGGAGGTTTTTTAATTTACTAACCCGAAACCCTAGATGTTAAACCCTAAACGTAATTAAGCCCAAAACCCTAAGACCCTAAGCCCCAAACCTAAAACCCTAAACCCTAAACCTAAAGCCCTAAGCCTACGGCCCTATGAAAAACCTCAACCCTAGATCTCTACCATACGCCTTATGCGTCATCTTACCATCCCTAGGACCATGCCCAGTCCGTTTCTTGGAGGGTCAGGGCGTCTTAGTAAGTCTACTTATAACCCTTATAAGCCACTATAGTCTAAACTCCATTACGAGGGTTTATACAGGGGATTATATAGGAGTGATAAAGGGGGATACTAGGCGCTTAGACTATAGCTCATATAGTAACCCCAACTACCCCATTCTGAACCTACTTACTAAGTCCCCCGGCCCCTCCAAGTATACCTCACGCCTTGTGTCGGGGTACCTAACATCATGGCGAACATACAAGGTTAGATGCACCTGAAGACGGATAGGGTACAAGGGCCTAGGTATACTGTAGGCATTCCAAACCCTCAACCCAATTACACCTTAAATCCTAGACTAAGTAGGGGCGGGGCACAGTAGGATAGGTAAGAAGCAGCTCGCAGCTTGAGGATTCCGCTCAAGACGGCACCCTAAACATGCTAAGCTGGGTTTAGGATTTACGCGCTATTGCCTTTAGGTAGATTCTACGGTCCAAGACCTTTCATCCTACACCCGGCACACCAACCGCTAGGCATTGCGTCCTGCGGCCCAATCCCTATGTTCCAACGCCTACTGAGGGCACTCTGAGTGTGTGGCATCTAATCTCACGGCCCCATTCAGCTCATATGATCCCCATAGACCCCTCTCTTTATGGCCGCGTGCTCGAAGGACAACGATGGGCCGTGCTGAAATGCTTCCAGAAGGCTTGCCCTTTCCTGCCGCCAAACAAATACCGCTTAAATTAGGCTTGAGGCTTTAGGGCGGTGTGAGATTCTAGGTTTGAGGATGTAATATGAATCTACTAAGTCCTTATGAACCTGTCGATTGAGCCCCCCACGACCATGCCTCTTTAAAGATATGCCAACCAGAAGCCAGTCTTTGGTCGTTTTAACTGGAGCTTTACGCGGGTATATGACATAAAAGGTTTCGGGTGGCTGCATGCTCCTTTTGAGAGGAGTTATGCAGGGGTATATGCAAGCTTTTCAGAATTCCGGTGTTTTTGGGGGTAACTTACTTAGGGGCCGAAAAAAAATGAGTACATACCACAACCTTGCCCCCCCCTCACA